GGAAGTTGTTGATATAGTGAAGGAACTCCTTTAGTTTATCAATTCCATGTGTCCATATTGCAAAGATGTCATTGATGAATCTTATCCACTCAAGTGGAATCAATCCACCAGGGGCATCCCTTAGCATGTTGTGTTCTAATTGACCCATGAAAAGATTGGCATATGAGGGCGCCATTGGAGAACCCATAGCAGTACCTTGGGTCTGGAGATAATATTTATTATCGAATTCAAAATAGTTGTTATGAAGTACAAGTGTTAGTATTTCCTGTAGAAAATCAGTGTTAGCTTCGCTATTAAATCTTTGAAGGTATTCAATTGATGCGGCGATACCTTCATCATGCAGGATGTTAGTGTACAGAGATCTAACATCTATTGTTAGAAGAATAATGTCATTGGGAAGATTATGGTTAAGTTTGAATATACGTCTAAGGAAGTCTGTTGAATCTTTAACAAATGAGGGGATATTGCTAACTAAGGGTTTGAGGAAGTGGTCCGCATATTTCGATAATCTGACAGTGGGGCCATCACATCCAGAGATGATAGGTCTACCCGGGTTGCCAGCTTTATGAATTTTAGGTAGTAGATAAAGGGTGGGAGTTTTAGTTGGTGTGGGGGGCAATAGGAATTTCAATGTAATGTAATCAAATTGACCCAATTTGTGGTTATTATGAACAAATTGTCGTATTCTAGTTATTAGTTCAGGGATGGGATTTGCTGAAATATGATTGTAATGGGTGGTGTTAGCAAGTTGTTTAGAGGCCTCATTTACGTAGTCATCTCTTGGCCAGATGACAATGGCCCCACCTTTGTCTGCTGGTTTAACAATCAAGTTGTCGTTTTTCTGCAAATCGTTTAATGCAGATATTTGTTCTCTTGAATAGTTTTTATGTATGTTAGTAGGGGTATTTGAGTGCGAGTGTATCTCCTGATAAACTAGGGAAATAAATTCCAAGAGGTTTTCATTATCAGGAAGCGGAGGTGTAAAGTCACTTTTTAATTTGAACGGATGGGAGGGTATATTATTATTAGGAGATTCTTTAAAGAAATATCGTAAATGCATTTTTCGTCGAAAGTCCTGATAGCTCCTGTATATAATCTCTCTATTAGTGGGTTGTGGTGTGGGGATGAATTTAAGACCTTTCGATAAAATTTGAATGGTGGGTTTGTCAAGGGGTGTGTTTGATAGATTCACCACACTATCCTTAATATGTTTCATTTTAATTTGAGAGAGAATTGCACTTTTACTTTTGAATCGATAATTATTGTTATTTCGTTTAGTGTGCAAATATTTACGTAATTTAGTTTTGGTAAGCTTGTTAGTTAGCGGGGCTTCGTATTGTTTCTCATGTTCAGATGATAGCTGGGCAGATGCATGCGCGAGAGAAAATCCTTCAAATTAGAATTAGTTACGTTAGTGGTTGTGTTATTATTTCTATTCCTCATGTTAGTTGCGAAGGGGAAGGGGTATGGTGTAGGAGTACGTGCATGGGCTAGACATATTTCTGGTGATGGTTGAGCCAACACGTTGTGACCTGACTCTAGCCGGGGGAACTAGAAGAGAGGGCTGTATTATGTGAGGAGACGAGGAACCAACTGTTGAATTAATTCTCCTTGTGTTGTTGGTATTAGGATTAATATTATTGGGAGTGCAGCTCATTAGTGGGGTTAATGTTTGGGTAGTCGATACGGGATTATAATTATTATTGGTTAGGTTGGGAATAGAGCGAGACGGGGTATTGATAGGGGTTTTCGTAGAGGAAGTGGTTTTCGTCGACACATAAGGTGGAGATGTATAAGAACCACCATGCGACGCGTTATTATGGCGTTTATACGGTTTAAATCTTCGGAGGGTTCTACCTTTGTTAGTTTTATCACCAATATCATTAGTGACCTGTATAATATTAGAAGCCGTTAGTTTGTCTGGAGCGTTACTATATATATATATATTGGTGGGAATTATCTATGTTGGTTAAGAGATTAGTTTTAGTACGATTATGATTCTCAATTAGTATATCAAGGAGGGTATGAGGGCTTCATCCCATAGTTTGCGTAGGTCATGCGGTAATCTGACCCTGCATTCCACCTTAGGTACGAGGCCTGTTGGGGTGGTATTCATCTCCTTGTGCTATTCCAATTCAATCTCTCGCTCTTATATATCCTCGCCCTCATCATGTCACATAAAATTCACATATTCAGTTACTATCTAATCGTAGTTTCCCTTGTTTTTTTGCGTACATGTTCACCATCACAGGAGTCGGAGTAAATAAATAAAGGATAACCAATTGAACTACTGGTCCTCATTATTTAGGCTACACAATGTCTTACACCAGTACTTGTCCAATTACCTATTTCATACCAATGATTGAAGCTCTCGACTAGATTTTTTGCAATCTTAAGTTTTCTGCAATCTTGACTTTAGCGTTTTTCTATTTTCAGCATAAGTCTTTTTAAGAATTTAATCATAAATAAACTTTCTAAAGGTGTCTTGCGTAGAAAAAATACATGAAATATAAATTTTAAACCCACGGCATGTTTAATTTTTCAATTTCATCTGTCCAGGGAGTCAAAACAACTTGCATCTTCGGAAATTACCCGATTTCAGCTTAATGTCTTTATTCAGGGCATTTTCTCATAACTTTGAATAAAATAATTTACATTCTTGCAAATCGGCTACTGTTTTCTTCCAAAGAAAGAAGCCCAAAAATTTGTTTTGCTTATTTTAATAATTTTTTAAATAATTTTTCGCGAACGCCGGCAACTTACTGATAACAAAATTCTGCTGCCATTTATTCTAGTTTATTTGGTTTCTGTTTTTTCATATTAATGAATTATTTTCAAATGTAGACGTATCACGTATGTCTTATTGTTGGCAAATTTTGTATGAGACATACCACATAATAATTTGGACCAGTTTCATACTTGCAGTCCACAATGATCTGAACAAGTTAACCAAAGGCAATCCATCTTCTTTAATAATATTCAAAACAACCCCAAATGCAATTGAAAGTGCAATTAAACCAATCATATTGGTTCCTCCGCCTCTGGAAATCCCACCATATTCATAAGTGACGTCATTCTTTATCAAAGTCGCATGACCATCACGTGACATGATCAACTTGTTGTTTTGAAGAAGTTGAGACATTGCTTCTGCTGATATATTGGTCATGTTTTGTTGCTCATATCTGTAATTTATCATGTTTTCTTTGTAATCTGTATAAACCTGGAAAATTTACAAGAGTATATTTTACTCATTTATACTGACTGTACTGCCACCTCGTCCCCAGGCGCTAATTAAAAAATTTGCGAATCACTATATGAAAGGTTTACATGAAGTAGTGCGTCACATTATAGGCGCGCGCAAAGGACAGTGGGATATGAGCGTTCTGGTTAGCGCCTGGCCGATCTTGTATAATAGCTGTCGAACATACAAGTAAACAACAGATCTAAATATAAATCCCTTCATGTATATCACCAGAAAGAAATAAAGCTATCCTTACCTGAATTATTCAAAATATTGCCGATCGTTTACATTGTGAAAATCAAACATACTGCATGTAAATAAGCTTGTAACTGAAATCCTGAGACGAATCTTGCAAATACAATTCAAAATAAAGTTTCATCGCTCCCTTGTTTAAAAAACGTCTTGTAGCTGTATATTTTTAAAATAAATTGCTCATTGTGATAAAAATACATTGTCATTTTTCCATACCTTGTAAATTTATTATATAAACTGGCTTCTACGGCCCCGTAGAACTCTTCAAGTGTTGACATCTCGGAATCATTCAAAGCGTTAAAAGATATCAAATATCATCTGACTGTAATCACATGTTTAATTGAACGATTTGAAATGTTGTTTCCTCAAAAAAAATGGCGAAAAAAGCCCCCAAACTGTCGAAAAACCACGATTTGCAAGAAACAGACGAATTTTGCAAGAAACGGCACAAGATCTCCCAGGCGCTCCTCAATTTTCGATGCCTCAAGCCCATAACTCCCTGCGCTTGTTCGTCATGATGCACTACTTCATGTAAACCTTTCATATAGTGACTCGCATGAAATTTTTTATTAGCGCCTGGGGACGAGGCAGCTGACTGTACAGGGAGTATAAAGATAGACGGAATCCTCGATTCAAACGTATAAAGTTTCGAAAAGAATAACAAAGCAGACGATTTATGTTTAAACATTCGGATTTTCAATGCTAAACTGTTCTTGAAAATTTGAGGATGAAAGTTTAATGAGCAAAAGGAGGATGATAGTTATTAATGAAAACTATAGTTGGCATGCAGTCACGCACTGTTAGGGGGAGGGGGGGGGGACATTTCAAACCACGACTAATAAATAATTCTTACTACTTTTTCCCGTGTGATATAACAACAGTATGCTGCGGTTATTACTTGCACTTAAGATACAAATTATCCGATGTTCGAAAGAGAAAAGAACAAGCTTTAAAATCAGACTAAACATATTTTATAACGAGTAGCACCCAGAAAATTAGTATGCATAAAAGGTATATTGTCAGTCTGTACGTCAGTCTTTCTATGTAGCTTCTCAAATTCATTAATAATTCATGAGCAATTCAGTCAATGATAATCACCTATTTGATCACAAGATGCATTTGGATAACCCGGTGAAACCTGATGAAAACTAGTGTTTTCGTCAAATGTCTTAATTACGCATGCAAAATTACTTGAATAAAA